TTAAAAATAACAATTTATATATATATAATATTCCATTAAAATATATTAGTTTACTTACTAAAATAAAAAATATATATTTCATTTCATACGTGTACTGATCAATTAATGCTTATTATTTTTTTTATAATGAATAAAAAAATGTTCATTAAAATCTATTTTAAATGTAAATTATACTTATTTATTCACACTAAATGCTGTTTTTTTTTATTTTGTTATATTTTATCTTTTAATAAATTTTTTGTAATCACAATTTAATTAGTCTATATCTAATGTTCGGTATCTAATTAACATTAGAAAAAGTAAATATAATATAATAGAAAATTATTTCTTTATGCGCTATTGCTATTATTTATCATATTTAATTAAAAATAGCACACATAAGTTATTCTCTTTAATCAACTTAATGTTTTAAATTATAATATTAATATTATATCATATATAACGCGCGTACGCAATCACACATACACAGCACATATAAACATGTACTGATTCTTTTTTCAAATTGTAGCCACAACTTTAGTCATTATTTTATGTAAATATTCATATTATCACATTGCACAGAAACAAAATATATACAGAGTATCCGGTAAAGATTATGCCAACGCTCGCGAGCGGGTAGAGTACGATAAACTGAACAGAAAAGTCCTTTACTATTTTGCGATTTTCGTAATAATTATTGAGAAATTAATTAAAAAAGATCGACCAATTCGCGTGACTATAAGCGCACGTCGAGAAAGAAGGGCCCAGAGACATCCCAAAAGTTTGCGGTCGCTAGGCGCGCGAGGAAGTTTTGAGAGGACCGCTCTACAAATGACAACGGTTACGTACAAGCGGTACATAACGATGGATTTTCGCGTCCTCGCAACCATACATCAATGGGTTGTTCCTTTTTACTGCGCGCTTGTACTCACACGAATTGGTCGATCTTTTTTAATTAATTTCTCAATAATTATTACGAGGATCGCAAAATGGTAAAGGACTTATCTGTTCAGTTTACTGTGTTCTACCCGCTCACGAGCATTGGCACAACCTTTACCAGACACCCTGTATATATAATATTAGAATAATAAAAAGAAACAAGTATTTTTCCTATCGTTATGTAACTGATTTGCGTCAGAAAAATAAAATAAAAAACTAGATAGTAAAACATTAATTATTCCAGAAATTTTATGATTCAATAATAATGTAAATGTAAGGCGTAAACAGATTGCGTCTAACGATAATCGATGATTCAAATTTTTTCAATATAGGTAGGAATAAATATCACTATAATCGCATTTTATTTATCCCGCAACGAAAATATATAGCTGCAAATAATTAAACAGCATGAGATAGTGAATAAAAGACAAAAAATTTCCTTTTTTCTAGCTACAGGGCAGAGAATATACGTTCACTCGCGACAAAATTTGAACAATTTTAAAAATGCATCAAAATAAAATTTATGTTGCCACATTATCGGCATATAGAATCGGCACATTTGACAAATTGTTTATAGTTCTAGTACATTATGCTACTGTCTCTTTTCTACTATATCGTTTTATATCGCGAAATCAAGGCTTATTTAATTATTTTCAAAATTTATTTTTTATAAATTGCAATATGTAATTCCCTAGTTATTCTGTAACTCTTTACGTTATAACTCTACTAACAGATATTATCTCAACGTAAATGATTGCGAGTAATTATACATATAATACAATTTTTATTAGTTATTACAATTCTTCTAGATCCATTTTAATTTATAATTTATGATAAAATTTAAAATAATAAGATATATCATAATTTGCTTTCCAATTATTATATTATAATATATGATATTTATAATTGATTTATAATTATATTTATAATTATATAGCTAATAATTATAATTATTGATTTATTTTATAAACTCTTACGTAAATAATCATTACTTTTCTTAATCGCACAAATAGTTTGTCCTATTGCAAAATAAATTTTGGTTTAAAAAACTTTATAAATAACACAGAATTCTGCGAATATATTTATTATTAGTGTGTGTAACTTTTCAAACATAGTCATGTCAACGCTTGTAGTGTGTAACCTGGTTAAGCGCTCTTTCGGAAAACATAGGTATTACAAAAGACGCTTTCCATCGAATTTCACGAGTTACCTATATCAAGACTGACTAGTGAAAAAGGCGACAAAAAGAGTTGCAGACAAGATGTTTGTGATAACGAAGATAACATCTGAAGTTTTGTTGCTTTCAAAACCTTGTTTTGAAGCATTTCCAATCTTTTGTCGGTATTTTTAATATCATAAGTTTTTTTTCTTTTGCAATACATATTCATTAATCATAATATTTAAAATCTTTTTTCTATTTCTTTAATCATTTAACAATTTCGAATTTGCAGCAGGTAAGTAGAATTGATATTAAGATATATGATTTCCGATTGTGGGACAGAGTGCGAATTATTTTATTCTTCATTATAGAAGATTTGAAGTCTTAAGCTTTCTATATGTTATAAAAAATAAAGATGTTTGAGAGAGAGAGAGAGAGAGAGAGAGAGAGAGAGAGTGAGTGAGAGGGGGGAGGGGAAGAGAGAGAGAGGGGGGAAAGAGAGAGAGGGGCTTTCCATTCCAATTAACATTCACGCAATTGTCAGAGAGTATACGCAATTAAAATATTTTATTTAACACATTTTATATACGTAGTAATACCATCACGAGTATATACTTCGATTAATATAATACTAGAAAAATACGGAA